TTGTTATCTCAGATTCTCCAGCATCGGCAGTTCCCACTGTCTCGGAATATTAACTAGTTGTGCTGTTGTTACCGTTATTATTTAGATGGTGCTTTCTCTAAAACATACAGGAGACTGTGAGAGCCGACGATTCTGTCTTGACAGGTGAGGGCTGTTAGCTCGGGCAGATGGCAGCTAGCTCTGGGGTCCTTGTCCAACTGCCCCCTTCTTTTTACACCCTTGATGACATATAAATATTACTTATAATAGGATTTGTCCTATGTGGTCAAAGCCATCAGACTTAAATTTAATAGGATTTTGGTATCTAAGTACCTAGTTCAAATTGATTGGTTAAATTCAAAAGCTTGGTTAAAAGCTTGGCCTGCTAACTGTGTGGCCTTTCGATATAAATGTTTCAATTCAGGCGCTGTCTGTGTACTTATAAACTTTCAAGCTTTTGCTCACAGACATCCATTTTAAACATCTAAGCATAAAAGAAGCACATGATCTTTTAAAGGAACCATACAATGCTTTTCCCTTTACCATTTTACAAACACGAAATTCTAACTTCCTGCCTCCCAATCCACTAATGCTCTACCCAACTTCGCAACTAGCGGCAAAGATGGTGTACTGCCTTTTGTTTATTATCACACCTGTTCTAGGAAAAGAAGTGGCTAAATTAAGTAACACAGATAAGGCTTCTTTAGTGTAGAATTTTTGTTTGTGTGTTTTCCATACCTTGTTCTAGGATTATTTTATTAGATTAGGGGTATCCTTTAGCACTAATAAACTGCCTTTTTAAAAGCAGAGCTGTCCTTGGCCATTTGTAAACAGGTAATTTTATTTGAAATAGATAGAGGGGTAGAGTACTTACAGATGTTTCTTGCTGCTTTTGAGGTATGCTTCAGCACAGGTTAGAACCTTCAATTTTATTGTAATTGTAACTTCAGCTCTGAACTTGACAGATTGACTGTTAGGAAAAGGATCTTTTGCAACCGCCACACTGTTGTCACTATTTCAGCCTTTATTAAGATCCACTTACTGCCAATAGCTAGCAATCACCACAAGCTTTTAGTGCTCACTAGCTGCTACCATCACTGTCAACATGTTGCACTTTAGTTTTCTATATGTTAGCCCATGTAGCATATACGACAGAGTCAGTTTCTAGTTGAAACAGTTGTCTTGAAGTTTATTTAACATCCCAACCAATCTCAGTACACATGTAGGAGGGGATTTCACGTTTATAACATGCAGTGCACACAGACCAGACTGGTCACAAACCCACCTGATTCCAGACTCCATAGAGTAGACCTTGGAGATCCTGGGTGTGGAGGTTATTATGATGGGTCAGACCCTGAAATATTTATAGACAATTTTCACTTTGAATTCTGAAATGTATTGTTTTTGAAAGGATTGTTGCAGAAATAATGTGCCAGTTCGGTGACTGTCAATGGAATGTCACACACGTCAGTGAAACTCCAAAATGGGAGAAACTTTTCAAGAAGAGATAATGAGGGGCCGCCTGTCCCTACACTCATGGCAGAAAACTACCTCTTGCAGACATGAATTGTTTTACCCTCCAGAGCTAAACAGAAAAGATGTTTAAAAGCCTGTTTCAAGTATTTGCATGCTGTTTAGCCTAGTCAAAAAACTAGTTACCCCAGTGTTGCAGGTAACTACCCAGGCTTAACTCCATCTGCTGCAATCCTGCTAAAAAGGAACCAGGACAACAAAGGACTCTCTCTCACCCTGAATGCTGGAATTCAATCACAGTTGAAAGGCACTGGGACTTCAACAAGCCTACAAACCCAAGCATCACAAAATAATGACTGTTCAATTATCAGCACCAAGTCTACTTGTAACCTTCTACTGCAACAACAGCAATGCTCAACTATCCACTCTTAGCCAACAACTCAGATGCTGATATGTATTTCTGTGTGTGTCTTTTTAAAAAAACTTTTATTTCTAATCCTTGTGTATTTATATCTTGTGTTACTAATTCTACCCACATTTAGTATTTAATAAATTAAAATTTGTTAATTCATTTAAGTCTGGTTAAATTTAAATTGGCTCCTTTTTAAAACATAAGTTTATTTGCTTCTGGAAGAAAACTTGTTACAACCAACCACGGGGATGGGTAAATAAAGAAAGGGGACTAGTTTATCCCTCCTCACCAGGGAGCTTAACAGTTTGGATATCCTGTCTAGACCCACAGGAATTGATGAGACTTACCCCAGTCTGATTGTAACAAGTTAATTGTGAAAGTCAGTGAGCATCATTGTTTTTCAATATTTTTCCTCTTTCCTACACATTTGTTCCTTCACACACACATTTATTGCAATATAATGTTTTGCATTGTACTGCCATGTGGGTGTCACCAACATTTTTGCAGCTGCTGACCTCTTGACAGCTTCCTTGAGCCAAGTAAAGGTATTTTGCATGTGGATATGCTCAGTAGATTGTGTTGAATTTACCATTAAACCCATCCTATATACTTTCTTCACTATAATACTGAATGAGACCCCATTGAACTATTATTAAACATTTCATGGCTTTTATATAGAGTGATTTTGCACTGTTTTAATCTTTCTCCATGTTTTCAAATTAAACAGGTTGCCTCTAACAACTTTATGGCTTTGTGCCAAATCAGGTAATCATTCAGCAAATATTCTTGTGCTGACAGATATATTTCTCCATTGGAATGCCAGATATAGATTTGACATGTTGCTGAATGACAATGAATGATGGATAGATCAACACGTTGGCACAATCTACTTGAAGTGACCAGTGAATGTTAAACTAACTATTTCGGTTTCAGTCCAAGTTTTAGTTGAATATTTGAGTTGGAAACTTTGTTCATATTTTACATTGTGCTGAGTAGAAAATACCTTTGCTGAATAGCACCCGGAGTGCTATTTATTATCAACGTTACAGTAAAAACACTCATCAATCTGACTCATTGCTTAATAATGTTTCAGGTATCTTATAACAGTATCTGAATCAAACGCCTGCAGTTCCAAACTCAATAAACCTGTTAATTCAGTTACTGTATAACAAAGGCCTCTGCCTAAGATGTTCAGACAGTTGCCTCCATAATTTTATCCTGTCTGAGTCAGTTGCAGAAACATAAAGATCTGTTGGCATTGTTGCTTACTTTTTTGCTGACTGATTTCTTTTTTTCAAATTTCTTATTTCTCCCAGCATCTTTGATTGCTTGTTGGCAATACATTACCTATGACTGAGCATCTATATAACTAAGTTTAGAAAAAGCACTCTTATGGTGCAGTGATGGTGTCCCTTCCTCTGAGCCAGACATCCTGGATTCAAGTCCCACCTGCTTCAGAGGCATGTTACAACTTGGCTGAACAGGTTTATTAAAATATCTAGAAAAAGCACGATGTGTAGGTTTCAATCTGTGACATCCATTTCTGTAGGTTTTTTTAATATTCCCAAGAATCCATAAAATATAAAAATGGCTAGGTTTTGCAACACAAGCTTTGAAAACATAGAGAACAAATCATCCCCCTTTTGACACAACTTTCCTTGATATATTTCAGGAAGCTGGTTATCAAAGGATAATATTGAAGTCAGTCTTTACTAAGTCTTAGGTTTACAGAGTTGAATATTACAAGCAGGCACCTCTTAACTCAATAACCATAGTTTCAATATGTATCCCTCCATTTGTGCTCAATTGAAACTCCAATTAATGCCTACAACCTGCATAAAATTAAACCAATTAAAGGAGGTTGGTGTATTTGCCGAGTTGGGAGATTTGATAGCAGACATTTCATCCCCTGCTAGGTGACACCCTCAGTGCTGTGGAGCCTCCTGTGAAATGCTGTTGTCTTGTGCTGGTTCGAATTTATATGGTCTGGTGTTTGTTGCTTCTGGTAGGTGTTGGTTCTGGCTGTGCCTTGTAATGGTCAGTATATCAGGTCTGATTCAATGTGTTCGTTGATGGAGTTTGTGGATGAATGCCAAGTCTCCAAGAATTCCCTGGCTGTCCTCAGTTTGGCTTGTCCTATGATAGTAGTGTTGTCCCACTTGAAAGTGTGGTTTGTTTCTTCTTCAACTACTAAGCCAGGAGACATGGGTTTTAATAGAATCCCTACAGTGTGGAAACAGGCCATTCAGATCAACAGGTCCACACTGACTCTCCGAAGAGCATCCCACCCAGACTTACTCCCCTATCCTATCCCTGTAACCCTACATTTCCTGTGGCTAATCCAACTAATTTACACATCCCTGGACAGTATGGGCAATTTGGCATGGCCAATCCAACCAACATGCACATCGTTGGACTGTGGAAAGAAAGGGGAGTATCCAGAGGAAACCCATGGGGAGAATGTCCAAACTCCACACAGACAGTCGCCCAAGGCTTGAATCAAACCTGGGTCCCTGGCGCTGTGAGGCAGCATTGGTGACCACTGATTCAGTGTGCCACCTGCTCTACAGTGTGTAATAAAGTATCTTAATAGATTGTTTAGAAAATATCTGCAATTAACAGATTCCCTTCTCTCTTTAAGCAAAAATTAGAGTTAATATACATAATCAAAATTTCAAAACAAATGAAATTAAAATCTCCACATTTGTACAAAGTGATACATTGTGAGATTCACCTCACTTCTAAGACTTCTCATAATTTTTTTTGTACTATTGCATCCTGCTGTGGTAGCCCATTGGAAATCAGGCCCCAATATTCCCGGAGTCATCATAAAAATTAAAGATTTTGTAAAAATATGTAAAATTCCCTGATTTATTTGTCTTTTAGATCCAGGTTGGTAGAAAGCACAGACCAGGTTTCTGTGCTTAACAAGAATTACTATTAATCACAAATAAATAGATACTAACTGCAGAAACAATTATGAACTATCAACATGTAACTCTAGTAGTGAAAACTCCAACCTCCTTATAAGCATTCCTCAACAAAAATGCACAGACAGACACAGACTGGGAAAAAAAAATGAGTGTAATTACTGGAGGGAAAGACTTGGAAGGCAGTTCAGTGGTCCCTGCTCACAGATTTGCTGAGATGGTCCTTTAGGCTTATAAGGCTATGTTACTCCATTATTCTCCTTTTCTAGATATTCCACTTGCTTGCAAAAGCTACAAGGTGGTTGGTTCATTCTTATAAAATCTCTTAAAAGCCACAACTTGCAGAAACTGCTGAAGGAAAAATAAAACTGGCTACTTTTAAACTTCAGATGCTTATTGTTGCAGAGTAGAAACACAGCTCCTTTCATTGCAGAGGTTCAATTGCTTCTGACTCAAACATTCATAGCCACAAGCTGTTCAGCTACCTAGGAGCCAAGTGGATATGTGTTGGTAGAAGGCAGAAGGCCGAAGGCCTTTGTCAGTAAGAACTGGTCATTTGTTCACAAACCAATCAGCTACTTGTTTCTGGCCAAATCTTTATTTGTACCCAGCCCCTTAGCCCCAGTTTGTCTGTAACCAGATTTCCATTACTGCTTGAACAGAATCATAGAATCCCTGCAGAAACAGGCCATTTGGCCCAACAAGTCCACACTACCCCACCGAAGAGCATCCCACCCAGACCTATTCCCCTACCCCTACATTTCCCATATCTAACCCACCTAACCTAAATATCTCTGAACACTATGGGCAATTTAGCATGGCCAATCCACCTAACCTGCACAACTTTGGACTGTGGGAGGAAACCGGAACCTGTGGAGCAAACCCACACAGACATGGGGAGAATGCGCAATCTCCACACAGACCGTTGCCTGAGGCTGGAGTCAAACCTAGGCCCCTGGCGCTGTGAGGCAGCAGTGCTAACCACTGAACCACCGTGCCACTCAACAAATAGCTGTGCAAACAGCACTAACAATGAGTGTCTGGTTACTTGCTTTTAAAAAGTGCAACAATCCTTCAACAATCCTTGACTTTTAAACGTGTTCTTTCCAATGTCAGTTTGCAATCAAAAATACAGATATCAATAAAGAAAAGGTATGGGGAGTCTTTACAGTAGAAAAAGATTTTTTTTTACAAAACAGATTGTTAATCACTTTCATATTCATTTAATTTTAGAGATTACTTTCTGTTCAATATTTATTTCAAGGTTAGTCTGTAATTATCTTTCTCACCTTTTCCCTAGAATGTGCATAACCCCAATGAATGATTATCAACATAACATTTAATGGATTTCTAATCTTCAATATGCCCTTCAATAGAGTCTCACTTGAAATATTTGACAACCTAAAATATATATGCCCTGCCAGTACACGAGCCAGTGTTTCAGCAGTTACATTACTTCTAACAACTCTTTTTATTTTCAAAGTTCCCTAAGCTAAAAGGCACCACTCCTATTTTCATCCATTCGAAAAATTACAAAGACAGCTGGACTAGAATTGCCATCAGGAAGGTATGCAAAGAATCACTAAAAATGACTGGTTCCACGTTCTTCGGATCACCTAAGGATATTAACTAAAACATATATTTCCACTGATTTATATTTTTATATGTAACCCAACTTCACAATCATAAGAACTTTCGTTTCTATTTTGATTCAGAGACTGTCCTGCAGCTTTCATTCTCTAATCAATTGAAGCTACAGCTTCTACTCATTTTTTAATGTCAGGATTGTGAGACCTCCCTTCTTTACTATGAAGGGTTATGTCTTTATTGCTTATTTATGTCTGAAGCAAAAGTCACTTCTGGACTTGCTATCAGCACTTGTACTGTGCTTTCATACTCTTCCCCCTTACCCATTCTGACAGTCACTGGAACTCACTTTTTGGCCATCATACCGAACAATCAACTAATGTTTATCTTGTCAATAGTATTTCCTGCACAATTATCGTTTCTAACCATTCACTTTACCTCTTTGGAACATATGTGACATACAATACAGTACAGGAACTGGCCCTTCAGCCCACCAAGCTTGCACTGATTCCTATTCCTTATTTATTGTTGTCCATACGCGGTTTCAATCCCTCTGTTCACCTCCTGTTCATGTGTCTATCAAGACATACCTTAAATGTTGCTAATGTGCCTGCTTCCACCACCTCCACAGGCAGTCCATTC